CCCCTTTCATTGCTACTACACCACCAGAGCTCCCGAAAAGGGGCAGCAGGCCAAATATACTTGAGAATCCATGATCCAAAGAAATATAAAGACTTCCATGTCTTACAAGACACTTCAACAGAGCCCTTCTCAAACTCATCAATGGAATATGTCCATTCACAAAATCAGTACCATCTCTTCTTCACAGCAGCATTTAGAGGGGAGTGGAAAGGGACCAGGAGCCCTGGAAGTACCAAAACTTAGGGTCAGTCAATTCTGACTCGCAGCGACCCGATAGGGCAGGGTAAAACTGTCCCTGTGAGTTTCCAGTTCTGTAACTCATTACCAGAGTAGAAAGCTTTGATGTTTTTAAAATGTTGATCTTGGTGATTTCTAACTTCTGATCTTGCTGTTCGCAGCCCAATTAGTAACTACTATCCTACCAGGACTCCTTCTTGGTGGTATAGTGGGTTTGAAATTCTACTGCTTACTAAAGGTCAATGGTTTGAATCCACCAGCTGCTCCATGGGATCAAGATGAGGCAGTTTTCTTCCATTAAGATCTACAGAGCATGCTGTGGAGTGGTTTCATTCTGCCTTTTAGAGTTGTGAGTCAGAATCAATTTAACAACAATTGGTTTGGTTGAATTTGGAGAAGTGATTTAATAGGGTGATGAAAATGTTCTGGGATTAGGCAGTGGTCATCAATTTTCAACTTTGTTAATACTCTAAAAAACACTAACATTGTACCTTTGAGAAAGTCAAATTTTATGGTATGGGACAAATTTATTTCAATGAGGCTGTTATTTTAATTGTTTTTAGAAAAGCGAAACCAAAAAAACCTTGTTATTTTTTTAGCCTATGAGCTATTGCCAAAGGATTTTTATCACCAAATTTTAAGTGGAATCTGCTATAATTAGGTAAAGCAGTAAACAACAGTATTTCAAATTTTCATCATTTAATAAAGTATCTTTTTCTAATTTTGTTATTTCTCCTCTATATCAGATGACAAAAATAAGCTCACTCAAAAAATAATATTCAATAAAAGATGTGTTGTACACATTCACATACACCCATCCATTGCTACCAAGTTTATTCAGACTCATAGCAATCCAAAAGTAGAGAAGAGTAACTGGTGGGTTTGAAATGCTGATTACGTAATTTGCAACCCCACACTTAACCCATTGTGTCACCAAGGCTCCTTACTAACAAGAACAGTAGTGTGGTAGTTGCATAAGTTCAGGTCAACTTGTTAAAAATAGTCAAGGGGTAGAATCTAGCAGGTCAATCAGGTCGTAGCTTGATGACCTCAACTGGAGGTGCTATGGAGATATATAGCTCACTGGAAACCAAACACACTCTCGCTGCTCCTCTTCCTGCTGACAAGCCACAGGAAGCTATGCTGATGGAGCCCTGGAGCTGGAGGAACCACATGGAGACCCACACCAGCGTTGAAATGTTTCCACTGCCACTGGACCTACAAGACTTTCCACGCACTGGCCTGGGATCTTCCAGCATTCTACATCATTACATGGCTGCAGGAGTCTAAAGAAGAATTTGTGGACTAGTATTGAACATATGGGCTAATATCAGACTTATGGACTTGATCTGGACTGGGCTGGGATGTTTTCTTAATATACAATTACTCTTTTTGATATAAAGTGCTCTCTTACAAACATGAGTCTCCCTGGATTTGTTTCTCTAGCTCTCTTACAAACATGAGTCTCCCTGGATTTGTTTCTCTAATCTACCCAGAATAACACTAGCAATTTTTACATCATCGAGGAACTCAATCATATTTCTTTTAATGTTCTTGGAATATGGAAAACAAAAAGCCCAAAGAGGTGATATCAGGACTGTAGGTTGCATGGGTAAGGTTTACCAAAAAATTCCCTCTAAGACAGATCTTGTTAATCATTAAGGTACATTATTGTAATGGGGAAAAAATTCCTCTACATAACTTTCCTGGCCTTTTTCTCACCAACACAATTTTGAATTTTCTCACTTTTTCATAATAAGCCCATGATCATCTTGTGTCCTTTGAAAAATATTATCAAGACTCAAAAAAAGTCACCATAACCTTCTAAATTGACCTTGATTTTAACTGGCCCAGCAGATCTCCTTGGAAGCCATTGGTTTGACTGGACCTTCCTCTCATGATCCACAACTCATTCCATTACAAATCAGTCCACTAAACTATCTTACTTAGCTTTGGATCTAGCTTAAAAGACTGATGGCAAGATCCCCTTTGAGCTAGTTGATCTTGCAATGTTTTTGGCAGCCATAGATCCAAAATTTTGTTCAGGTCACGGTGTTTGCTTAAAACTGAAAATGCCAAACCATGTGTAATCCCAATTTCAGTAGCTATCACATCACTGATAATTCTATGGTATTTTCCCACCAGTTTCTAAACTTCTGTCCATTTCTTCATTTCCCTTGGCTCATCTTTGATGGCTTCCTGACCTTTCTTTTAAAAGCTTGATCCATCTAAAAACTGCTGTTGTGAAGCTTCAATTATTTGGTGTGGCAGTTACAGACTCTCGTGTCAATTTGATAAATAAAGTGTAGGGGTGGAGAACAGTCTGGCAATCAGGTCACAGCATGATGCCTCCTTGTGGGCATGGCCTCATAAGGAGGGTCCTGGGAACCTCCTCTTTCTCCCTGTTCAACTTCCTGCTGTCAAGTCCCTCGGAGAGATGCTAGAGATACCACCATTGGATCCACACAACTATGCACCCACCAGCCTGTGATCTCCCTGTACTCTGCATCACTGCATGTGGCTGTGTGAGTCTTAAGAGGAATTTATGGGCTAGTATCGGACTTACTGACTTGTTCTAGACTGGGCTGGGATGTTTGCTTGATATATAATTACCTCTTGATACAAAGCTCTCTCTTATCCATATGTGTGTGCCATTGGATTTGTTTCTCTAATCAACCGGGCCTAACACATTTGGGAAGATGGCCACTTAATATCTGTTAAAATCTGGTATTAGCCCTAACCTCAAATCCCTTTTTTTCCCATGGCACCATACCATACTTTTTTCTGAAAGTATGGTACCTAGTATGGCGACTAAGATAAAGTGTATTACTGGGAGATCTTATCAGCAACCAGCCATCCACTGGTCAGAGAGACATTATAAAGCCTTTTCATCTAAGAACTGGACCCCTACTAGCAATACTTCTTTACCTTATCCTTGTATCACTTACAACACCAATCATCTCATTTAAAGGTATAATGTATTTCACTGAAGGCACCTTTTTCTATTAAAAGATATTTATCTTTACCTTCAAACCAATCTCTGTACACTACAAGGGAGATTGAATGAACTAATGAATGAATGAAACACATCTTCTAAGTGCCAAAAAGGAGTT